AATGCAAGGTACAGACAGTTACAGTGATTTGGATTTTGAACTGGTGTTTTGTTGAGTTTTGTTTCATTTTGCGACCTTTTTACAGTTAAATTAATCACTGCAATTGTTAAGCTAGTAATATGGTTGTTAAGTGAATCTGGTTTTCCCATTCACTTTAATAGAATAACAGAAATGGAAAAAACCCTGGAGGTCTTCTAGTCCAACTCCCTGCTCAGGCAGGAAACCCTATACCATTTCAGACAAATGATTGTCCACTGATTAATTATTCTGTCAGGAAATTTCTCCTTAGTTCTAGGTTGCTTCTCTCCTTGATTAGTTTCCATTCATTTGCATCCACTTTGCTTGCTAGAATAGGTTACAAAAGATGATCACATATCCCCAGGACCCTGCAACTGTCATAAGTATGAATCAGTTGCCAAGCATCTGAATTTTAATCACGTGACCATGGATGCTGCCATGGTACTAAGTGTAAAAAATAGTCATAGATTGTAAATTTGAACGGTCACTAAATGAACTGTTAAGGACTACCTGTACTGTGGTTAAGTATGTGAACGGGGCAGTCTTGCAGGAGAATCTCATTACATTAAGAAGAATCCATTCAGTGGTGTGTGGGCGAGAATTATCATGAACCAACACCACACCTGAAGTCAGCATGCTTGTTATGGATGGCTCGTCCGAGTTTTCATAACATTTCACAGTAGATGTCTGAACCGATGGTCGAACCACACTCCATGAACTTCACTAGCAGTATCCTTTGGCATCTTCACATTTGGCGGAATTTTCTATGGCACCACTTCTGGTGTGGTGTTGGTTTATAATGCTCGCCTGCACACCATTAGACGCACCCAAGAACTTTTGAAGCAGTTCCGTTGGGATGTTTTTGATCACCCCCCCATAGCCCAAATTTGGCACCGACAAATACTACTAAGGAATTTCAAACCTTGTAATACGTTATGTCAAGTGCCTCAATTTGAATGGCAATTATGTCGAAAAGTAATGTAATGTTGTAGTTTTCTAATGTGTATAATAGAAGTTCCGTATTTGCAAGTGTCTGTCATAGATAACCAAATGGAGGTTTATTTCCGAATTGCCCTCGTACAATCTTTCTTGCCACAGTTAAGTGAATCACTGTTGTTAAGTTAGTAACACAGTTGTTAAGTGAATCTGACTTCCCCATTACTACTTGTCAGAAGTAACAAAAGGTAGCATATAATTCACATTTTGTAATCCAAATTACACCAAGTAGTTTGGTGCTTTCCTGACTTTTTCTCATTCTTTTTGAAGAAAAATTCAATAACAATAATATGCATTTTCTAACACTAATTAGTGATTGGGTAAATTTGACAAATCCTGAGATACTCCATCTAGAGGGATGGGATTTACTTTTTGGGTGGCATGCCTATTTAATATTTAATAAAAAAATGGATTGGGTCTTTAAAGCACATATTTTAAGAATTTCTCTACTTAGGACTTGGAGAAAATATTATAAAAGTGATTTTAAAGTACCATTATGGGCTATACCTTGGCATGCGATAGAAGGAATAAAAAGAGGTGCTAAAATGGATATGGTGTCTTATAGACAGTTACTTAGATGGGATGGACAAAACTGGCAGTTTAAATCACGGGAAGAGTTAGCACAAGAAAATATTATTTATTCTTGGTTCCAATATAGGCAACTAGTAGATAGATGGAAGGTGGATTGTAAAGTGGGTTTTCTTAGAGAAGATGAAAATTTTATCAAGCAAGTAAAGGATCAAAGACAAACCCACATTAAGAGGATTTATGGGGTTTTAGTTGAATTGGATTCAGAAACGGAACTAATTAAAGATTGTATGATCAGATGGGCGCAGAACTTTGGTGAGCCAGTTCCATTGGATACCTGGGAAACCATCTGGGTGAGAAATGTCAAATTTACACAAGCACAGAACTTAAGGGAGAATTTTTATAAAATGTTTTATAGATGGCACCTTGATCCACAAAAAATGTCTCTTATGTACCCTGACTTACAACCTAAATGTTGGAGATGTGGTTGTATGGATGCTACTTATTATCATATTTGGTGGTCGTGCAGAGAGATAAAAGCATTTTGGATCAAGATATGGTGGAATATCCAGAGAATTTTTAGAAGGAGGGTAAAATTTACTCCGCAATTATTTTTGTTGCGTATAGTTACTGATTGTGATACAAAGGAGGTTATATTGATGTTAAATTTGATTACAGCCGCAAGGCTGTTAGTAGGGCAATATTGGAAGAAGGAATCTTTGCCTACCTTGCAAGAGTGGTTTCTTAAAGTGTCTTATTTGGCGGAAATGGCAAAGATTTCGGCTTTTTTAAAGGAACAAACGCAAGAGAAATTTCTTGCTGTTTGGGATAAGTGGATAAAATTTATACAATTTAAATTGGATATAAAAAAATATCATATAGCCTTTTCATAATCTTTATTTTTATATATATACATATATATCTTAATGTTATATTTTTCTTTTTTTATAAACATAATTTTTTAATTGTTTTTTAATTAAGCCTATATTCTGCTCTGGGAAGCTCAGGGGGGGGAAAAGGGGGGGTCTTTGGGTGGGGGCTGGGGTAGGGGGGTTTTGTTGTGTAATGTTTAGTTTTTTCTTTGTATATGTTGTTTTTTGTTTTTGTATTGTTTTGTTTTTTTGTAAAACTTATAAAACTTTTTAATAAAAAATAATAATAATATGCATTTAAGCCTACCTTTTATACTTTGACAGTAACACATTTACCAAATAGAACCTGTATACTGTTTGTTGAAAATTATTTGTATAGCAATTTTATCACAAATTACAGTTAAAAAGATAAAAATACAAACTAAAAAAAGTACAGAAAAGAAAAAATAAAAAGTGCAGAAAAGAAAAAGTAGAAAATAGAAAAGAAAAATAATACAGTAAAGAAATATATAAAGAAATGACTTCCCTCTTCATCACAAGTATAAACAATTTTATATCTTATCACCTTTTCTTAAAATACAAAAAAGATCCTCCCATATCCCAAGCCTTATCCCTAAACAAATCCTTAAAGCTTGCCATTCAGTCCTGATTAGCAAAAGTTCATTGATTACCAGAGATAAATATTTATTCTAATCTTGATCAAATAAAACTAACTTTATATTTTTAATTTTAGTCCCTTCAAATAATGTCCTAGTACTTTCTTTTTATCTTTTGTTTGTCTCTTTTCACAAAATTCTTCAGAGCTTTGACATTTTTTAAATAAAACTGATAGGAAATTATCCAGATTACACTTTTGGTTTGTTTGGTTTTTATATTCTTTTGCAATTATTAAAACATCAGCCAGTTTTATGTCCAGGGTAGCATCTTTTTTGTATTATTCTTGTAGTCAGTCATTTTTAAATCCAATTTCAGATCAATCTCTGTCTTGTCAGGTAAAATTTGTTCTTCTTTCATAACTTCTTTTAAACAGTCTATCGAGATAAACACTCTTAAAATTAACATCTTGGTCTATTGTTCAAAAATATCCTTCAATATGTCCAATGTTAAAAATATTTTGTTCCATTCAGTGCTAGTAAGTCAAATATAACTGTTCACCTTTATATAATCTTTACTTCCTTCTGGTTCACTCTAGTATCCAATCTTCAAAGTCTCATCCTATCGTGTTTTTAGAATTAGAATACTTTATTTGGTCAAGTGTGATTAGACATACAAGGAATTTGTCTCCAATACAGAAACTCTCAGTGTACACGCAAAGCAAGAATAATATTTTTTAAAGAGAATTCAATTTCCCATAGATTTTATAATCCTGAAATTTTATTTCAAATCCACATACATGTTTAGTCTGTTTGTAACTCCAGAATTGAAGTTCTAGTCATTCTTTTGCTGTTTGTTCCAAAATATTTTTCCCTTAAGCTTGTATCTAAAACTTGGTTTGTTAAGGATTGAAAAAAATTCATTCAGGCTCTAAAGTTTATTAATCCAAAGATTCCAAATAGTTTAAAAGCAATTAAAAAGCATTTTCCAAAAACAATTAGAAAAAAAAAGTATGCAAACCTAGTGCAATTTCCCCCCCCCCCACTTTTGAAGGCACCAACTAGTTTCAGCAATATGGCTATTCCCTTGTCTCCCAGCACGCTAATCCACCAGAAACTACTGTCTTGTCTCCTTGTGAGGAGCAACTCCCTGGGGCACTTGCAGGCAATCTCAAGTTCTTTCCTTGTCTGGAGGACAATTACAAAGAGATGATTTACTTGCCAGGTGTTTATTCTGCCACAGTGGTCAACTCTGCTTTTAGCAGAGCCATCTTCAGTTCACTATTTTTCCCCTCAAAGTCCTTTTTAACAGTGGTCCCCAACCTTTCCAGTTTTGTGGACTGGCAGCAGTGACAGCGGTAGAGGATGGATGGTTCCGCATGAGTGGTGTGCATGTGCACGCAGCTCCATTTGCACAAGCAGTGGGTGCGCACACACGCCACTTGCACAAATGGAGTTTGCGCCCACACGCTCGTCTGCCACTCAAGCAAGTGGAGCTGCATACATGTGCACAGTCGCCTACCCATTGTATGGCCCGGTTCCAAATGGGCCGTGGCTTGGAGGTTGGGGACTTTAGTGGGGTGGTTAGTGCTACTACCTTGACATTTATTTTAAAATTCTCTATGGACAACCCTGGCCATTTTTTCTGTCCATAGAAGATGGTTTTAACTAATCCAATTCCAATCGTCATTACTATGATGAAGTATTTAATTATCAAAATATTATTCAGCCCAAGTGGATCACATAGACAGCCTGTAGAAGCTTAACTAAGAAGTTGACATTTCATCTTCTAAGCCAATAGTTTGAAGATAATGTTTATCCCATATTGTTCCTCCTAGATTTCCATCCATATCAACTATATTGATTTCTGATATTTCAGACAGCAAATAGCTAATCCGTAAACTAACTGATAATTTACGCTCAATTACTTCACAGCTATTGGTGAATTACTCAGCAATGTATAACCATAAGGAAACACTGACATAAGACCTTCTCAATCCTATCCATTTATTGAAGATTTACTTGAACAAAGCTACATTATTACTTATGGAACAAAACAGAACTATTTATCTGTTAATTTGTTTTTGCACAATCGTAGCTTAAAGTATATCTAAATTACTTATATATTGATCAACAAATGACACAGACATTTTAATAAATTAGACAAGCAGAAAAGATAGCATAGCATTTATCTCTTCAGTTGCCATTTTAGTTACCTAAACTAAAGCCTTGAAGGCAGATTGCCTGCAGCTAATTAGTAATGGTATAGTTACTTGTTTGAATACTGTAAATTGGTATTTTAATTTTTTCAAAAGTATTGCAGCTTAGGCTTTTACAATTTGAAACTAAATTTCAGCTTATGCAAGACCAAACTCCTATGATTTTGCTGGAAATCCAAAATTTGACTTTTTTATTTCTTTAAATGAAAGGGAGCCTTGAGCAACTGTAACTTCAGCTTTAGAAAAAGTATATAAACAGACTTTGTGAAAAAGCAATTGCACTTACTTTGCTTTTCCAGTTATGCTAGAGAAGCTCAAATTTTCCTACCATTCAACACTCCTACCATTGCAATAAAAGCAGATATACAACAATAAAGGTACCACTGACCAGGATGTTCATTGTTCTGTTTAACGTGCTTATCCAACTTATCTTTTGGAACAGTTTTGCAACTATTTTTAGAAATGGGATAAATATTTATTACATAGAATGGGCAGAGTCCACCTGATTTCAGATTGCCATTTTGGAAACATGCATGCTCTGCTCCAATGGACTTTTATCTTTTTCAAGAATTGTTTTATTCATGAACTGTTTTTTTTTTTTTTTTAGGATGAGAAGAGGGAAAGAAGCTGTCATATTACTTGAATAGAGTAAAGTTTATCGACTGTATCAATCAGCCAGTAGTTTAATGTTTCTATCAAAAGCTAAACTTATTTTAGATAGATTGGTAACAATAGAAAAATGCCATTGCTTTTTTATTTTCAATCTATTAGTCTAGCCTAAACCTCTGGAATTATCCTGGTAAACTCCCATTTAAGTACTCAGAATCTCACTTAGCTTTTTCAAGGTTGACTATAGTTGACTAGCTATTGCCATCTAGGTGGGAAACAAAATTTGAACACCAGCTGGAAAACAACCATTTCCTCAAAACACGAGAAATTACAAATGGAGAGAAAAAAATAGAGCTTTTGGAAAAGTTAGCATTTGCAGTATATACATTAGGGAACACCATTTATAGAAGTACAGTCCCTTACTTCCAAAGACTCTTGTTCAGATAACCTAATCAGAATAGGACAATGTGCAAATCTCAAGAAATGACTGGTAGCTGACTAATTTTGTTGTTTTCTTGGACATTTGCTTAGAGATTTGTCTTCTTTTAATTTTAATAAGCAAATAAACACCCATTAACCAAGGACAGTTTGCAACATGATCTTCTCTGGTCAGGCTTTAAAGCAGCTCATAAAAGAGAAGAACACAAATGGGAAAATATTATGATTTTGAAATATAAAAATGAAAATTAAATGGAGGATAACAGGAACTTATTAGACTTACAGGTATTAACTAGCACAGCAGAAAAGTAGACCTTTTGATAAAGGTCTCTCTTCTTCATCTTCACCATTTTTTTCCCATTTCCAAAGGACCAGGAAGAAAAAGAGAGGGAAATAAAACTCAAGAACAGTCAAAATTGATTACATTTATTCTGAACTACTATTTTAATTAGGCAGATTTATATTTGTAAGGCAATTTTCACTAACAGTCATTTGCAGGCCACCAGTAATCTTATTAGTGGAAATGAGTAATGGTGAAGGATTATTGAGCTTATTAGCTCAATGAGTAGTGGTGAAGGATTCCATATGAAATATCCTTGGTCAAAAAAAATATACTACATTGCCACAGAATAGCCTGAAACTAAGAGCAAGAAATAATAAACATGTCTTGTGATGGCCTGCATCTGGAAGAAAACCACCTCCCCACTAGGCTCATAGCATAATGCACTTGCAAGGAAGCTTCAGACCTTTGCTGTTACCTCCGAAGAGTAGTCCAACAAATGTATTTGGAGATGTTCTAAACCTCAAGAACAATGAACGAGAAACAGAAGTCCTGGATTAAAAAAAGTAACCAAGACAAAACTAACTGAGAAAAACAAAACAAAACAAGAAAGGGGGAAAAGATTCCTGGGAGGGCAGAGTTCATTTTGGAAACAGACAGTTTAAAAACAACAAACAGAAACATTAAAAAACACATGGCAAAGTTCCTCCAAGTTTATAACAGAAACACAGCCAGACATCCTATGCCTCAGTGACCAAGTAGGCACATTTCCCCCTTAGGGTTCATCTCAACATGTTCTCCTGGTAGTCTTTGGGTGAGAGAGTGTACCACGGCCTCTGTGTTACAACTGGTGAAGTGTCTGTAATAGCAAGTGTCGAGCAAAAGAGCAGGAATCCAAAGCACGGTTAGGCCTGTGGAGATAAATGATGGAAATGATGAGGGAATAAACTTTTTCTTCAAAATTTCTTAAACTGCATTAAGTCAACAGATACTTAAAAGACGGAGTACAAACTGCCATTCTAACCAAGAAGAATTCTGAAACTTTTCACAGACATAAAATATTAAATATTTTAAAAAATAAATATTGAAGATTTATGTAACATCACAGGAAACTGTGTGCTTATTTTCTACTTTATGTGTGAGAAGACTGCTGTGGCCAGGAAAAATTTTGAGAGTTTAAAATTTTGATATGAATCACAATATCAAATTTGTGCAGCAAAGGTAAGAGCTTATAACAAAAGAAATTTTTTCCAAAGAAAGCAACTCTCTCCATGACTTCATCAACCTACACTCATTAACACAAAGCCATGGATAAGCAAGACAATACATCGTGTAAGTTATTAGAAAAAAGTAGTAAGCTATTTAGCCTTCCACAACTTTTTGTGTGGGATTTCAGCATCAGCCTCCATTATGAAATCCATTTGTATTTCATGTAGCATGTATTATATAAGCAGAGAGTAATAATACCATTTGATTAATTTTACCCTAGAAATAATCTACATTAATACAGATTATTAAGGAAAACAAAATTTTCAATGTTTTTCCTGCATCAGCCAAGAAACTCTCTGTAGTATTTCACTAGAAGATTTTTGACTTTCTCTAACTTCTTTTGGATTGAAAAGAAAATCTAGGATTATGGAATTCAGCACATAGTGGAAAAAAGAAATACAGGTAGCCCTTAACTTACAACCATTTGTTTATGACTGTTTGAAGTTTCAGTGGCACTGAAAAAAGTGACTTATGACTGTTTTCCACACTTAAGAGTGTTGCAACATCCCCATGGTCATGTGATTAAAATTCAGTTGCTTGGCAACTAGCATGTATTTATGATGGTTGCAATGTACTTGGATCATGTGATCACCTTTTGCAACTTTCTGACAAGCAAAGTTAATGGAGAAGCCAGATTCACTTAACAATTGTCTTACTAACTTCTTACAACACTGATTCACTAAACAATAGTGGCAAGAAAAGCTGTAAAATGGGGCAAAAATCACTTAAGACAAGACATTTTGGGCTCAATTGTGATCTTAAGTTGAGGACTACCTCTTAATGTAAAAAAAATGCCATATTATATCCAGATTCATTCATTCATTCATTCATTCATTCATTCATTCATTCATTTTAGTTAAGGCCAAAGATTGATATGATCTTAAGAGAAACCAGAGTATTAAATTGCCCAATGACTGTAATAAAGATTTGATTTGATTAGTATCTTAAGTATAGAAGTGTGTTAATTTTAATTAAACAGAACAGTTACTGCAGTAGAGTACCCCAAAATTTAACAAAGTTAAATTTCTATTTCTGTATTAAAGGATCTTCCCAATATCAAGCAATATTTACTTCTAAAACCCAAAACTGTTTTTATTTATATAGTTTCTATACTGCTTAATTCTGAAGGCTCCAATAAATATACTAATAAAAATAATATAGTGATAAACATTAATAGCACAGTAAATCAATAGCAGCATCTTAAAAAACAGCACTAAATATGACAATCACTACTCATAAATGTTCCTCTAGGAAGGTCATGTTTTACAAATCTCTGGAAGGCCATGGAAGACAGTCTCACTGTGGAGAGCAAGTTATTCCACAGGAGGGGAGGCCCCACACAGTAAACAGCCTTCCCACATCACCTTTTCATAGGTGGGGCCCCTTAGCAGGCTTTTGTATTTGCTTGGGTTCAGCAGGCAGACTCTAAATAGGAAAAGTGTTCTTGTAGATAGCTCCCAAGTCTGATCCCAAGTCACAGCATTTAACAAGTAATAACATTTAGACAAACATTGGGAGCATGTGCAGCTCCCATAAAAGCACAATTCGTTGACAGTGTCAATAGTGTCCAGTACCTTTGCTCAACAATCAGTTCAGGAACACTAATTCCTGTGAACTTGTAGGAAAAAATAATTAGATTCCCCCCCTCCATGTATTGCTAATTGTTCCACTGAGATCACAATACTCACTTTGTGACAAAGGCCAAGAGAATTGGGACAAGGGACTTAGGAAAATAATCCTGCTGGACCACATGGTTCAGTGTCATTAGAGGGCCATAAAGACTCGGAACAGCCCTGATTTTCTCTTCACTCTGAAAGGCAAAAGAAAAAAGGAAAATGAAAGGTAAGTTACTATAGCTAGAGAAGCCAGCAACATTTACTCAGTATTATTTATTTATTTATTTATTTATGAGACTTATATACCGCTTTAAGTGCAAGCACTCTCTAAGCGGTGTACACCAGTAAGCAATGTATGTATATATTTACATTGCCCCCAACAATCTGGGTCCTCATTTTACCTACCTCGGAAGGATGGAAGGCTGAGTCAAATTCAGAACTGAACTGAGATAGCCCCATATTCCTTTTATTTTTTTGGCTCCCAAAAGAGTATGGTGTGATGTCATCATATTGATTCCATTTTCATAAAGATTAATGCATAGAAGACAGAGTTTCGCATTGAATTATTGCTTGAACATACCAAGACTTGATCTTTGCCTTTCCAAATATAAATACAGGTATACCTCGACATACAACTATTTATTTAATGACTGTTCAAAGTTATAAGGGCACTGAAAAAAAGTGACTTATAACCAATTTTTACAGTTATGAGTGTTGACTCATCCCCACAGTCACACGATCAAACTCCTGGTACTTTTCAACTGGCATGTATTTACAATGGTTGCAATACCAAGGGGTCCTGGGATTGTCATCTGCAACCTTTGTAAGGAGCTTCTGAGAAGCAAAGTCAATGGGGGAAGTCAGATTCACTTAATGAGTGATTTATTTAACAACCATAGTGATTTGCTTAGCAACCATGGCAAAATGGTCATAAAATGGGACATGACTCACTTAACAACTGCCTTGGCTAACAATAGAAAGTTTGAGCTTAATTGTGGTCATAAGTCAAGGACTACTTGTATTTGCATGCATTTGTATATAGCCCTTCTGCTATATTAAGAACAGAAAGAACTACATTGGCTTTAGAATATCTTGATGTGATAGATGATTAAAAGACCCTGGGAATAGAGAGAATATATAACATGACTGTTATAGGAAGAAACAAGACCATTAATAATTTACCTTAATTACTCTGGGCATAAGTTGAGCTGAACAATTATTCTGACAACTTTTCAATATTTTTACATGTTCCTAGCGATAAAAACCTTTCCAGAAATCCATGTGGTTCCATTTCCTATGTTCGCTGTCCATCGAATTAACTATTCTCCATTAGCAATGTATACCTAGCATAATTAATGTAGAGTTACTTTCATATAAATCTTTTCTATAATGGCCCTGTTTTCTCCTTTAACAGTTATTGGTCACCATGATACAAAACAGGTGTTGAGACTCTAGAAAGAGTGCACAGGAGCAACAAAGATGATTAGGGGACTGGATTAAACCATACAATGCATAGTTGTGGGAACTGGGAATGTCTAGTCTAAAGAAGAGAAGGGGTAAGGGTTACATGATAGCAATCTTCCAATTTTGAGGGCCAGTCACAGAGAAGAGGGCATCGACCTATTCTCCAAAGTACCTGAGGGCAGGACAAGAAGTAATGGATGGAAACTTAACAAAGAGAGATCTAACCTAGAATTAAGGAGAAATTTCCTGTCACTGAGAACAAACAGTGTAACTGTTTGCCTCCAGAAGTTATGGGTGCTCTATCATTGGAGGTTTTCAAGAAGAGATTGGACAGCCATTTATCTGGAATGGTATAGGGCACAGGTCGGCAACCTGCGGCTCCGGAGCCGCATGCGGCTCTTTGAGCCTTCCCCTGTGGCTCCCAGCCTCCTCTGCCTTTGCAGAGAGAGACAGAGAGAGGCAATTGCACTTCCCTGCTTCTCTCTCTCTCTCTCTGTGTGTGTGTGTGTCTGTGTGTGTGTGTGTGTGTGTGTGTGTGTGTGTGTGTGTGTGTATGTGTATATATGTGTAAAAGAGAGTGCACTCACAGTGTTCTCCGAGGAGCTGAAAAGCTTTCTGGGCGGAGCTCCTCCCTTTGCTGCGTCTCTGCAGGAAGCAGGAAGGGCAGGAGAGAGCTAGCTAGCCCAGCTAGGCTGACTCAGGAATTCTGGGAGTTGAAGTCCATGAGTCATAAAAGAGACGAGGTTGCCTACCCCTGAGATTGTTGGAGAACAACTTGAAGCTTGCCAGGTGAGCAGCAGATGGGGGGGGGAGAAAGAGAGAGAGAGAAAGAGAGAGAGGGGGGGGGGAGAGAGAGAGGAAAGAGAGAGAAAGAAAGAGAGTGGGGGAAGAGGAGTGGCAGACCAAGGGCAGAGAGGGAGGGAGGGAGAGAGACAGAGAGAGAGAGACCCTTTTGACATCTAAAATGAAGATAACACTGCATATATCCTTTTTTTACCTGTGTGTGTATGTAATTTTATTCTCTTAAAGCATTCTCTCGGTGATCATTGTTTTAATAGTATGGATATTCCCAAGAGTCATATTTTTACTTTTATTTTTAATGTGTGTGTGTGTGTGTGTGTGTATACACACACACACATACACAAACACTCTCTCTCTCTCTCTCTCTCTCACACACACACACACACACACCTATAATAAAGATAAAAAAGGATATATGCAGTGTTATCTTCATTTTAGATATCAAAAGGGTTTTGCGGCTCCCAGTGTTTTGTTTTTGGTGGGAAACGGGTTCAAGTGGCTCTTTGAGTGTTTTGGGTTGCCTACCCCTGGTATAGGGTCTCCTGCTTTGAGCAGGAGATTGGACTAGACTTCCAAGATCCCTTTCAACTCTATCATTCTGTAATCTATTACATGCTCCATCATATCTGATATGAGATCTTCACCTACTGTGCTTTTTGGAATATAAAATATACAATCAAACCTCATAGTTGTCAAAAATCTCCCGTCTCTGTCCACTTACCTTTAGCAATCCCATGTGAATCAATACACTTGTTATGAAAGCATCAGAATTGAAGTTGGCTGATGAAAAAGCTTCTCTCATCAAGGCATCTAAAAAAGAGCCAATTGTATTAGAAACATGGAGACCTCAATCCTCAGGGAAATATTATTTGATTTTGGTCCACTGCCTATGTCCTGTAGTTTAAGGAAAGACAACACATTTACCATCACAGTCCTAGCTAACAATTCCAAATATTTAAAAATAAACTCAAAGGAAAAAATAACTAGCTGCAACAACTCCATGAATTGCTATAGTGAAAGGCAGCATATTTTTATAGAAATAAGCAAGACTAATTTTAAATTGACCTGTTTTGTAAAATAGTGCAAAAACAGAAACATTCAAAAATCTAGTGTCTGATGCAACTCCATATGTTTGATCTCCTGAGCTAGAGGAGGCTACGGCTGAAATTGTCGAAAAAAGAGATTAAGAATCTGATGGCCACTTTATCTCATAGGCTTTTACATTCACGTATATCTGCTTATATCATTGTACTGATTACAGCCTTTAAAAAAAGGACATACCTGTTGTTTCAGTCACTGCTGTTTTTACTACTGTCTCATCTTTGAAGACAGAAGAGATCTTAAGGAAAACAGTAACAACTTTTTCTGTGTCAGATGTGTCTGTCTAGAAGAAATATAATATCAAAATTAAACTTGGTGCCATAGTTTGTCATTAGAAAGAACAGGTGGCCCATGCTATTACTTATGGACTCTCAACCTCATAAAAACTGAAGTAGCAGAGACATTTGGAGATTTTTCTAGTGCTATTTGTTTGCATATCAAATCCTTACAAATATCAATTTCCAACAAAAGTTTTGTAACAGATCTAGGCAATTATTATGATTGCAGCACTTTGATTTGATTCTAAAGCAGTGTTTAAGTAGGCAGAGATCTAAATAGAACACTGGCATGTACTTCCATAAAACAGTTGTATTGTTTTCCAAAATCCCAGGGCATGCCTTGATGACCTTTCTGGAATGAGATCTAAAGTGCTAAATAGCCCTGCCAACTGTTATTTTTCCAAGTAAATAACAAATTTTAACTGATTTTGATAGCTTGCAAATCTGCTATGTGATATTGGGCTTAATACACATTAGAATTCTAATATTTGGTAAGTTTCCAAGTAAAGCAATGTGTAAAGTAGGGGAGATACACCAGTCAACAGGAACAGAACTACTGAGCTACTAGCCATGGTGCACAGAAAAGTGTGTTTTGTAAAATATTAGCAATGGTTTACCTGCTGAGTTATCAAAGTCGAACACTTGGGGCCAAGTCGCAACAATTTCTCTGGAGATGGGAAAGCTAGAAAGGTGCCAACATCAACAGGAGGAAGAGAAGGAGAAGATAGTGGTGTAGAATCCTGGAAGAAATCCTGAAAATTAATCTTTTGCCAGGAAATACAGAAAAAGGAGACGTTGTATAGCAGATGAGAAATGAGGGAAAGGATAGTACAGTAAAGTGGATTCATTTTGGCAGAAGTAGCATAGTTTATTAGGGATAAATATCCTTTAAGATCTTGTTGTCATCACCCCAAGATGACAGAGTTCTACTCTTGTGCTCTGATTTTATACTGACATTGTCATCTCTTTTATTTGTTCTTTCCTGCTAGCATAATATATTAGATGAAAAATATAATCTTTCTCATTCACTCATAGGACAAGTTTTACTTAACAATAACTTTGTACAGCAAAGGATATGAAAAGCTGCCTCTTTTATCTGCTTTATTACAGAAAGTTTGTTCAGCTAATCACTTTCCTTTAGATTTTTATATAATTATCCTTTCTTTTCTTTTCCTGCTTTTATTCTGTTGAATTGTCAGTTGCTACTTTTTCTCTTCTTGTCCCTCTCTAAATTCTGTTTGCTTTTTTGACTCTGCTCCTAAAACAGTAATAGTTTATTTGTATTACTTAAAATATGGAGGGTTTTAAACAAAAGAGACAGCTTGGCTTGGATATGAACTTAGGAATACGCTCCAGGAACAACATCTGCAAGAATCTAATATATATGACTGTATTTACTTGGAAAACTTAGATGTACGTCATATTAATTTTACATACTTATAAAATACTATCGCCAAATGTTTTAATGGGAAAAACATGAAATGTAATCAAGAAAATACATTATTTGTAAAAAAAAATTTGGCTATATTATTTTGGAAACATAATAATTCAGAAGTGTACATTTTATTATGTTAAGGGGAAAAGCAGCAAAGCAAAATTACATAGGAGTAGGTGTATGCATTTATTTTCATTAGACAGGCACACATTATTCCTTAAGGATAATTATTTGGAAAAAGTCGGCAACTATAAAACTGATAAATTTGTCCAGCAATGTATTACTTTAGTATGTTAATAATTTTATACAAGCAAAAACCACAACAATGAATAAATAGCTACAACAGCTTTCCAACTGATACCACCAGGCATATCAAGTGCAGCAGTTGCTCTTCTTATTTAAAAGAAGAAAGCTGTGCTTATACCTACATGTTCCTTTAAGATTTTTTTAGGTGTAAGGGGTTCTTGTTCTCCCTGCCCCCTCTCCTGCACCTGAAGAGGCTCTTCTTCCTCCTCCTCCTCCTCCTCCTCCTCTTCTTCTTCCTCCTCCTCTTCCTCCTCCTCCTCTTCCTCTTCTTCTTCCTCTTCCTCCTCTTCTCCATTTTCTCCATCATCATCACTAAACGAATACAAGAATATAATTATATATACTTTTGGGAGACATATACAGGTATTTATTTCTAGTCAGCTTGCATTTATCATTATAAAATTGTACAGATACACAAATAAAGAAATTGGATATCCAAAACACAGTAACTAAAATATATTGTCCACAAAGTAACTTCCGTATTTATAAGAAGAAATTATATTAAATCTAACCCAACTCCTCCTAGTGTGGGTAATAGTAATACTAAAGTCTGAGCTGCAAAAATCTAGCTGATCGCTAATTGAAAGCAATGAATTTGAATTCTGCATTTCTTTGTTGCCACCTAGTCCTCCAGATTTTTGCAACACAAAATCTAGTAGCCCTAATGACAATAATTCATAGAAATAAATGAAAGAATCCAAGAAAATAAATGCAACTTGTCAAATGTCAAGTCTTTGAAAAAGAGATAAGATTCTGATTGGTCCAACAAGAATTTGGGGGGGGGGGAGATGGAAAACAATAGTTTACTATTTTTTTTTAAATCTTCCCAAACTCAAATTTTCTTACTGCAAATTGAAAAGCATTCTGGCAGCAGTTGGAGCAAAATTGTTTCCAACAGCCCTGGAGTGAAGACTGGAAAGAAGTCAGAAAGAACAATTCCACTTCTGCCAAAGCCACAGTACAAATTAACCTTAAACAATATTACACAACAGCTGCATGGTGCACTTTCACTTTTATTATTGAGGTTTGCTGAAAGGCTCTTAAATGAGCCTTGCAGCCATGAATATCTATCATATTAAATAAATCATTGAAATAGCCAATCATTGGAGGCTCTGTTTGTATCTTACCTCAGGGAGCCTAGGACATCTGCCATATTGAAACTTTCAAGAATCTCCTGGAGCTGTTCACAGCCTTCTCCTCCAAAATAATTGCCTATGACAAGGGTAAAAGCATATACCAGTGATGGTGAACCTTTTAGAGACCGAGTGCCCAAACTGCAACCCAAAACTCACTTATGCATCGTCGGGTGCCGGGTGGTTGTGGCCCATTGGGTGGGCGTGGCTGCGGTGGTAACGGCAGACTGGGTAGGACTAAAAAATTCAATCAATCAGTTCCAACTTTGCAAGATCTTTTTTCCCCCGCGAGAAGTTGAAATTGACTGATTGATTGTACCTTTTTTTTTTTTTTTGCACACAGTAGCAGAGGCCTAAAGCGAAAAGGTTTCATAAAACCCAGCTGAAGGCCTAGGACTGGGGCGACAGCGCGCATGCTCAGAGAAAGGGCTCTGAGTGCAGCCTCTGGCACCCGTGCCATAAGTTCGCCACCACTGGCATATGTAAACAGAACTAATTTTTTAAAGGATAATTTAAAAAGCTCTGTTTCCCTGTGGAGAAGTTGATAAAATCACAAGCTTTAGTATCGTATCTGAATCAAAAATACTATATTGCAATTAAAGTTGATCACTGTAGTCCTTGAAATCAATTAACTCAGATAGGATGGGCAATCTATCGTCTTGAGATTGCATGTCACATCTTTTTGTATCTCCAGAGTCCATGCTGCCAAGATGAAATGTTATGGTTTCCTACCAATATTCAGATTAAAAACAAAATGTGTGAAAGGTTTCTGGTATATTTAATACACCTACAAAAGTTTTTAAAACTCAAGGCTCCTGACGCTTAACATTCATAGGAATCTATTCATTGTGATTTTTGGCTACAGAAAAATAATTTATTTTGGGCCATGCTAGTGTTTGTACAAACACTATAAAACATAGTTATCAAGTTAAAACTGTTGCCTATCCAGCCTCTGAGAAAGTCAGTAAATCTACCTAGGAATAAGATTTGCATAATCTTAAGAATTACAGTGAATCCTGTAATCCAGTAGTTCTCAACCTTTCTAATGCCGTGACCCCATAATACAGTTCCCCATGTTGTGGTGACCCCCAAGTGGGTGTGACCACCAATAAGAGGGAGTAGGGCAGCTAGGGAAAAGGGAAAAAAATGGCGGACAGCATGGTTTGGCGACCCCCGTGAGATGGTCATTCGACCCCAAATGGGGTCCCGACCCACAGGTTGAGAACCACTGCTGTAATCCATAATTACTCAGGATTGCAGATTTGGGAAAATTAGAAGACCAGGCATCCAGTGGCAATTGGTAAAAGGAAGATACGGAACAGATCATGAACTGAAAATCTGTGGAAAGCTAATTGAAAGAGAATGAACTAGAGAAAGAGAAAGGAATTTAGATTAATGTATATATTGGCTTAACCTATCCAGTCATCAGTTTGGTTGCAGATTTTCTCTACTAAAACAGCATTATCAACCATAGCACAATCACATATAGTACCATTGAGATCTAACTTCTCCAACAGTGACTTGTCCTCAGTAGCCTCAGCAATTATAAGTGCAGCATCTAACTTGATCTCACAGAAGGATAAGTTGAGTTCCTACAAAGCAGAAAGCAAAGTTTCATAAGAATACTTGGGTTAGGAAGAATGCAAGAAATATTTTTAAGTGGGCTCATGGCATTTATAATTCACATCATCCAGAGTCTAAAAAACAATTCAGAAACAATGAGGGCAGTGACAAGATGCCTAGATTACAAATAATCATGTCTGAAGATTGCAGTTAATGCTTAATTGACTGTTTGGATTATTTCATTTTTGATTCACTGCTTTTTAAGTTCATGGGTGAATAAACTATGTCCTCAGATGATGTGTGACATATAAACTGTGGCTACAGGAAACCCCATTCTTTTCACTAGCTATCAGGAAATGTATTTTTTTTCCTGCTGTTCTTCATGACAGAAAATGTAGTTAGCCCCAATCCTTATTGTGAGCTGCTGAGGCTTTGATATATGCATACAAATATGCTGCCCTAGCTTGGCAAATTATTCAATTTTAGGATTTAAAAAGTTACCCATCCATATTTTAGAATAACATCTTGGCCTTTATTCCAATTTAATATAAATAGAAATAAAATTTACATTTATCTTGAACCAAATGTATACCATTCTCTAACTTCATCATGTAGCTTGACAAAACTGAAATGTTCATAACTTCTTGGTGTTTTTAACTTGACTTCCAGCTCATGGCTGTATCTTTAGCTGCAAGATGGATTGTAACATAATTTTAGGATTTTGGACCAGTGTTCGCCAAATAGTTTTATAAAATACAAAAATGCGTGTATTTCATATTTATATGATCCCTAATACCAAAACTTTTACTTAGCTCTAGTCAAACAAATCTTGGAAATTAATTGGCTCCACTGAGATGGGCCTGGGCTACAGCTTCAGAGAGGGATTACTCTTTATTCTTCTTCACTGCCTGCTGAGCACAACTAAAGATCACCGATAAACATATTTAGTTTGTCTTGTAGCATACATAGCAATGCACAAAAAAAAAAAGGATTCAAGTATGGCAAATACCTTTAGTTTATGAAGACCTTCACTGACAGCTTCAGCAATGGCAACAGCACCTTTTGAACGCACCAGACAATCCCCAAAGTTGATTGTTTCCACTTGGCGGAGTTTCTTTAAGGTCTGAATAAAAGAAAGAAAACAACGCAGACTTAACCCTGACAGAAGTGCTTCCTTTTAAAAATATAAGAGAGTTGTACTGAATGAGACCTGTTGCATTCAGCATTTCAGAGGAGTTCATAAACAATTCCTGAGTGCAAGTGCTTATTCATCTGGGTTCTGCATTAAGAAATTTAGAGGTGCACTGCTACTATAGATTAAATGGTACTCTTACTCTTCATGAATTTCTCTAATCCCATTTTGAATTCTTCCCAGGGATGGTCAATTTTGTATTTTATATTAGCAAAGTCAACAGGGTTTCCGAACCCCTCCCCCACACTTAATATCTCACATACATTAACATTTAAGTAACCCTAATGTACAGTGGCAAAAATCCAAATGGTTGTTTTCTGTTCTCTAACCCAGTGGTTCTTAACCTTTTTGAACAAATTGCCCCCTTGAGCCAATGAGGAAGTTGTCATCGCCCCCCTCCCCCAACATAACCTCTCAATCACAACATAGGAAATAATTCTTCAATTTATGCAAACACTTGTTTTGTTTTCTTTAAAATTGTCATCAGGACATTCGATGCAAATAATTTATTTCCAGTCTTTTTCCCATATCTCAACTGTGTGAAAAATTTTGGTGCCACCCGTCACTTTATTCCCCAACTTTGTGATACATGTATTTCATTATTATCTTATTTATTCAAGAGACTTAAATGTAATGACCACTGAAAACAAAATTCAATTGCAAAAAAGTGAAATGCTGGAAAAGAAAAACAGTAATATTTAATGATTGAATTACAAGTGAAATTTAAGACGCAAAAAGAAATATAAAAAGGGTAGAGGCTGCTGCGCAACGCCCATGAAGATAAGCAATGCGTATTCACATATGTACGGCATTCTGTACTGAAGCTAGCTGGAGGAACATTTGAAAACACAATTCAATCCACTAATAGCGAGCAATCTGATGTTTTTGTACGACAGATATACAGCGATTCACTGTATGGAAAACTCAAAAGTGTCCCCAAAACCTCTTGCTCCATCGCCTCCATATCGCCCTCTTTTTGTTCCTTCGCCCCCACGTTGCCCCTTTTTGTTCCACGGCCCCCCTGAAAAATGAAATCGCCCCCTGGGGGGCAATATCACCCAGGTTAAGAACCACTGCTCTAACCAATTATTAATCCATTTTACTTTACAACTGCTGTTCTAGATTTGAATCCAAATCACTATTAATGTAGAAATCAGTATTAATATAAAAAGTATGACAAAAATCATTGAAAAGTGCTTACTTCTGCCATAGCCACAGCTCCCTTCTCAGTGAAAGTATTATCATTCAAATTAATCACTCTCAGCAGGGGATTGACAGCAAAGGCCTCAGCTAAGGCTGTAATTCCTGGATGAGTGATTCCATTCTGTGGCATATGAACTTCTTCCAAAGTCCCAATCACCTGAGGATCAAGATAGCACAGAAGGCCATTGTTCAAACAGAGGTAAAATATTTTTTTCCTAATAACCTATGTATATCTATACTCTTTTAAAATTCTTCATACACAATAAAGCAAATATCACTTATTGTAATCTAAAATAGCAGAATGTAGAAGCTATTTCAAACCCTAGAGTTTGCTTCTAGAGACTCACCAATTGGAGTGCAATGCATATTATTTTCAAAAACATTAAGTACAACACTCAGCTTCTTTTTCTCATGTACCTTGTATAACGTTACTTATACCAAAAATGATAGGCAGATATCTTTGTATACTCAGCCCTACTTTTTAAATACACTAAGATTTATCAGTTGAGGACCCTATTTATCAAAAGTGATAAAAAACAGTTTCAAGGACCTTTTTGTTGTAAAACTCAGTTTGCCAATCTACCTCAGAAACCCATGTGCCCATAAAATAAGAATCTAAAACTATCTAAAGACCATATGTCCCAACAAAAACTATTAAGTATTAAGACAACATTTCCTAGGCTCACCTTTATCTTTCTATTACATATCCCCTACAATTGCTTGGATTCAAGTACTAGTAATCCTTAGGTTACAATGACAATTGGAGTCAGAATTTCTGTCCCTAAGCAATGAGGTTGTAAAGTGTGACATCATGTGATCATATTGCTTAACTACAGCAATTTGAGCAATTCCAGTTGCCATCACAACCTGAGGATTATGTAGGTCATTTAATGAGGGTCTCACATGATCACAGCTTCGAATTTCCTATCATCTTCCCATTGACTTTTCTTATGAGAAGCTGGCAGGAAATGTAAAAATTGCAATCATGTGACTATGGAGATGTTGAAATGGCCATAACTTTGAGGATTGAGCATAAGCACCTTTTGCTAAATGCCGTTATATCTTTGAATAGATACTGAACAAATGGTTGGAACCCAAGGACAATTTGTGAGTTGAAATATGATACAGAACAATAGGTTTCTATTCAAATAGGGCAGCTGGGCCAAACTTGTTGCACTACAATGATTAACCTATACTGCAGTGATGGCACTTTTTTATTGATATTATGATGCAATTTGTTGAATCCTCCAAATACATTCAGGAAGTGGCTGTTTCTCCAGAGAAATTGACCACTACTACAAAAGTAGCACCAACAGCCACCAGCTAGTAAGAATATAATGTACAACATATCAGAATATGTTCTGGAATATGGAATATAAAAAGAATATTAATGTTTTTAGAACACATCTGACCAAGGCTTTCCCTTCCTATTTGCCAATTACACATAACGTTTTAATCCGATAAGACTCTAATTCTTATACTCACTGCAAATGCCTCAGCAAGAGCAGTTGCACCATCATTTTCCAGACGGTTTCTGCCAGCCATAAATACTTTCAGAGCCAATGGCTTGCTTCGAGCAGTTGATTTCCTGTGACATTCTTTCAGAGCTCCTGCTAAGATCTTAAGAAAAAGCAGTGTTTACATTGCTAAGGTGTCAATTCACCATGACTAGAGGAGACAAATTATTTAAACTGCAGTTTTATATACATGATATGGACACTCTGTTAGTAACATTGTGTATTAGTAACATTCCCAATTGTAACGTAACAAAAAGAGTAATTTTGGTCATGAAATTAGCATGAATGCATGTACTTAACTCAGATTTCTCTGTGGGATACAGGGTGATAGATTCTTTATCTCTTAACAAGGTAGAACTTCCCTCTAGAACATTCTTTGGCCGGCTAAGAATAAGCCAGTATACTTTTCATTAGAGTAAATGACGCTGAGTTCCCTATCAATTTGGGAGGCTTTGTAAGACAACAATCTATAGCAACACATCGTGTATGCAGAAACAAATTGCAAGGGAAGCTGGAAGTCAAACATTCTATAGAAAATGCCTTTTTACCTTTCCACCACCAATGCCCATGCCACAGTTGTTTAACTTGAGTTCCTGCAGAGTAAAACAGGTAGGACTCTTCAGCAATGCCTCAAATCCACGGACTCCATCTGGTCCAAAGGCATTATCACTCAGATCCAGCTCTACAAGTTGGCAGCCAGCAGAAATGAGGGCTTCTCCAAGAGAAATCTAACAAATAATAAAAGGTAGGATAAAATCCCTTCGTTTATAGAAGAAAATTATTTTGTTCAAAGCTGATACTATTTTTTTCCTTCGTGATATATCATTTCAAGTTATGAAAAGTAGAACATACCTTTAAACTTCGTACAGTATCCCTAAACTTTTCACATAAGAGTATACCTAAACTCATATATAATATGTGATAAAAAGAAAAAAAAATTGATAGGAAATTATCTTAGGTATCTTTATATAGAAATAAGATTCAAATGACCTTTCCTCTGAGTAATTATGCATAAAAATAGGCTGTATTTGTGAACAGATTTCACTTATCAGCAGTTGAGCTGAAGGCTGTTTCTTATTCACAAAATTAAAAAAAATATGGGATAACAAATCACATCTTACTATGTGAACTCATCCTCTCTTTCACATATACATCCATGACAATCAAAATTTAAATTCAGTTTAAATTTATATTCATTTCTTTCCTTAACCTTCTTAAAGAAAGAAGGCAATTCATTCAGACTATAACAATATTTCTTCTTAAAAGTATGATCTATGACACTACTTTGAACTGAATTAGACTGTTATAACATGACCTACTCCGGTTAGCAGCAACGTCAGCCAATGATCTTTGCCTTTCTACTGAGAAATGTCTTAACTGGAAATAACAATAAATAACTGAACCTGAGACTTCTTCACAAATTCTTATATGTACTATATTACTGATTTGTCATTAGTCTCCAAAGATTCTTTTGGTTGGTCCTTGCTTCCATCTAAACCTCTGTAAAAAAAAAATCAGCATACTACTGTCATTTTGATCACCAATCTCAGATGATACTCCCATACTGTACCATTAGAAAAATCTGATGTTAATAATAGTTAATAGTTACATATTTCACCTACCAAAGCAGGGGGAATCTCAGATCTCAGTCTCCCGGTGAACATATCACTCCAATGACACCTCTATAACAACATATATAATACAAACATGGTAAAAATCATAGAAGATACATAATACACTGTTTATTTCTCTATGACATCCTTGGTGAACAGTATGCATAACTGCAAAAATGATTATATGTGAAAACTAGGAAGCTGGCATAATAACCAAGTGCATGCATTTATTTATGCTATTTGCTCAAACATGGAATACCAGCTCACTTTATTTTAACAAGAGTCGAAGTAGTCACAATTTCAGAGGATTGAATACCAACCCTCCAAAACACAATATTTCTCCAACATAGAGTGGCAGGTATGAGAGAGAGATATGACAGAATATGCAAGGTTGACAGTCAATGTTATTAACAACGTGAAAAATAATTAAGATCCTATAAAATGTTTCTTGTGCTCGTCAGCCAAAATATTCTTCAAACACATCAAAGTCATAACAAATTTAAGGATACAATTCCATTATTATACAAAATAATCAGGCATCAAAATCTCACCTTGAGCTGAGATTTGTTCTCCAGAGCCTTGGCAATGACTTTTGCTGCTTCAACCCCCACAGTATTTCCTTCCAAACGCAGGGCTTCTAGCCCATCAAACTCCTCAATCTCTTTGATCACCTCTTCAGCTGCAGAGATAGGCAGAATATTTCTGAACTCTAACCCAAACTGCATCTATCCTTCATTATAATTTCACCTCAAGTTCTATTGCCAGTCCACCAATAATGCTTTCCTTTTTATTTAAAATTTTGCACTTTTTACTAAGATGGCTTAAAGCAAAATAACAAATTCCTGGTTGCTGGTTCACATGTTATTCATATAATTATCCCCGTCAGATCTATAATCATTCTCTAGAAGTCATTTAGGATTCAGTCTATATGGGGGTATTAAAATATATGCTTTTATTTTATATAAATGAGCTCTGCAAAAAATTATATATCAATGAAGCAGTCATAATCAACAGCATATCCTCTTACCATCTTCTGCAGTATTGAGTTTCAAACTTTTGCCTTTAAAGCTCAGCTGACCTCCACCCACTTGGGTTTTAGCAAGTGATTCTGCAAGCTTAGTTATATCTTCTGATGCCATTGTTTGAGTGTGCCAACTGTTGCCAATATAGATGGGATAGATTCTGGAAAAGAAGATGAACCACAGATGAACCTCCAAAGAAAATGAATAAATAGCATTGACAGAGCCTACATTACAACCATTCATTTAGTGACTGTTTGAAATTACAATGGCACTGAAAAAAGTGACTTATGAGCATTTTTCACACTTATGACCATGGTTACATGATCAAAATTCAGATGCTTGGTAACTAACTCATATTTATGATGGTTGTAGTGTCCCGGGGTCATGTGACCTTTTGTGACCTTTTGAAAACACAATCAATTGGGAAGCCAGATTCACTTAACAACAATGTTAATAACTTAACTGCAGTGATTCACTTAATAACTGTGGTAAGAAAGTTGTAATATGGGACAAAACTCACTTAACAAATATCTCACTTAGCAACAGAAAATTTGGGTTCAATTTTGATAGTAAGTCAAGGATTACCTGTATTTAATAACACTGCCTTATTATTTGCCACTACATAAATATAAAAGTAGAGTGGCTGAAATAGTAATGAAAAACCAATAGACATTGCAATACTTTTGATATTTATATATTAGATTTTATCCCTTTATTACTTTATAAGTAACTCAACACAGCAAACATACCTAATACTCCTTTCTCTTCTTATTTTCCCCACAACTAAGTAGTTATACTAAGGACATTAATTTTCTTGTTACTTTGCAAAAAAATAGAAGTTGAACTGAGTAGAAGCAAAAAAAAAATTATACTGGATTTATCCAGAAAACTTACCAGGATTTTTCAGCATCATAAGCAGTGAACCTACAGACTGCTATCATTTGTGATCTATAAGTTGATTGTTAAGAAGTATTGTACTAGCAGGAACCAATAGTTCCAAGGTGGAACAATTTTAAAACATTGACTAATTTCAAGTCTTATAGTTAGAAAGTAAGAAATTGTTTGTTAAAATAAATTTGTAGATAGGTAGTCATCTCCAGCAATCTGAACCAAAAAATTCTTATAGATTCAAAGTGTTTAGTAGCCATTATTATTTCCTGCAAATTATTTTGGAGAAAAAATAATTTTCATTTTTATATTCAACAATATAATACAACAATAAAAGAAGGGAAAAGTTCCAGATTTCTAAATTAGAAATTAAGCAAATTATTTTGCTTTTTAAATGATGTTTAGCATGAGCACAATAAATCTGAATCTGAATGTAAAAACATTCCCCTTTTTCAGTTTATATGGAAGTTCAGTTTTCAGCACTGTCCTTGTTTATTTCTGAAAGATCATTTTATTATTTTATTGTTTTTCCAGTGGATTGATACATTGTCTTACAGATGTATGCACACATTTTCGCACTAATATTCTAATATGAATCTGGCTTCCCCATTGACTTTGCTTATGGGAAGGTCGCAAAAGGTGATCACATGACCTTGGGACACAGCAACAGTCATAAATATGAACCAGTTGCCAAGCATTTGAAATTTTATCACATCATAGGAATGTTGCAAAGGTCTTAACTGTGAAAAACGATCATAAGGCACTTTTTCATTGCTATTGTAACTGAACAGTCACTAAATGACTACCTGTATTAATCTGTCTCTTAGAAAGCCTCCCTTTTTTGATGTTTTGCCATCAGCTTCTCTTCACTTCTGGAACAAAATATTTTTTTAGCGGTCAGCTGAAGAATATCAACTTTTTCATCAACCGAAAAGTGCTAGATAAATCTTTTTTACTTTCTATCCTTATTATATGATAGAACTCCTTTTCATACTGGTACACGTTACAATTTTACTTATTAATCTCAAATCAGCTAAACTTTTGTTCTTCACTCTTCTACCGTATAAGCAAAATTCAACCAAGTAAATAAAATAGCGATGAAAATAGAGATGAAAACGCACTCATCCCCGAAGTCCTCATTCCGAAACGCCAGTCCCTACGTGCGCTCCTAATTTACATAACCCAGCCTAATCTCCCTGGCCAGGCTGGCCTCACTCGTAAAGAGCAACGCGGGCATGACGTCATACAGGGGAGAGAACAAGCAGGTTTTGGCAGGAAGACCTATCTGTACGAAGGAGGTTTGCCCGGCGTCAGGTCCAATTGCCCGAGAACGTTCTTCGTTGGCAACCCCATCATCAGTGACACGTGTACACGTGCACATACCCCTACACGTGCAGCCCAGGAAGCAAGACAGAAGCGCCTCCTTCCTCCCATACAATACGGCTGCTTCCGTGCCTCGGCAGGCGTAGTCAGAACCGCTGAGGAGGAGGAGCGAACTCGCTCTCAACTTACCAACAACCCTCGAATAAGTCAAGCTAATCAACTGTCCGCCCTTCTGCGTGCGAGCAGCCGCGTCCACCTGCCTGGAGCGTCGGATCTCGCTGTCACGTTGAAGCAGATACGGCCACCGCAGCCACCCAAGATGATGGCGTTAAGGGAGGCGGAGGATTTGAAAGCCGGCAGTTTTGTTTCCCGGATTGTGATTCGCTCCGTGGCCGCCTGCGTTTGCTCAGGGCGGCTTTCTTCTCTTTATGCTCCTCCTTTCTTGCAAAGACTCTGAGGTAATTGTAGCGAAAGGGCGGTGACGGTGAAAAGAGGTCACAATTTTGTGTTGCACAAGTGCAGCTCGCCCACTCGCTCGGCACCGCAGAGTATTCTGGGAGTTGTAGTTAATTTTTACATTAAGATGCATTGGGAAATGTTGATATTTTTCTTTCATGGAGCGGTTTGTCGCTAGAAGCAACGAGATAAATGTGCGCAGAAGAGAGTTGGATTAGCAAAGTAGTTTTTGTCAAAAAAGTTATCTGTTCTCTGGCATATTTTCCGTCTGTGTAGTATGTAGAAATGTTACAGCCTGATTTCTATGTCTGGAAATTCATCAAATTCTTAAAGTTTATATGCAATCATTAAAAATATTCGAAGAATTTTGAAACGTGTTGTGAGAAAGTAAGTTTATTGGACATTTGTTGAAAACATTTCCTAAAATGAATACTTTAAATTTTGGATTATATTTAATAGAATATGAAAAATAAGAGAACAGTTTAGGATTGAAGAAAAGCATTTGTGTCAGTTAATAGAATGTTTAAAGAATGGTTGAGCAGTGAACAAGGAAAAAGGGAATGTGCAAATAGAGTGATGAATAATGTAAGTTAAAAATAAATGGTGTAAAACTAGAGCAAGTAAAATGAATTTGCTTATCTTGATGCACAGAATTAGAAAGCAATGGCTAGAATGTGGTCTATTTCAAGGAATGATAAAGAAATGTCTGTGTTCTGCCCATTTGTTCTATGAGAATTGGGTATAAAAGGAGAAATTAAGTTGAATACAATAGTCTTCCCAAGCCATGGCTTCTTGTGCTCTTTTATTCATTTAGGAAGCCAATTGTTTCATTTTTTGGTCAGTCACTGCAATAAGTATCTCTATCTATCTAGAATGCAACACCAAAAAGTTACTTTAAAAGTATTATAGAGTTAACAACAAATAGGTAATGAATAAAAATAGATTGAATATAAAAGTGTGTGGCCAGTAAACAAAAGTACTGGAAGGTGCTTTGTTCAGAGAATAAATATCACACTACAAAACAAATGTATGGAGGAAGAGTGAATAAACTAAGAAGAAGAGCAGGAAAGTTGGCAAGGTATACTAGAACTGGCCAATCCCATTTGGGCTTCTAAATAAGGAGAATCAAAGCTGGTCAATATTTTTATGAGTGACCACTGATAAATACCAAAGCTGTTTGTACTGAAAAAAACACAGACAAAGGCAGTTGAGGATGTAAACATTTCATATATATGTCAGGAAAGATACAAAGATAGCTTTATAAATTCAACCAGGAACTGTATATAGTTTCAAATCATTATAAAATGCCATTTTACTTGCTTCATCACTTGCTTATTCTGCATTTTCTGCCTAAAAATCCTACCCAAATGCATCACTCAGTGTGGAGGTGCAGGTATTTGTGAGATTCTACAAAACAAAATTTTGAGTGCATTCATATTGTTCACCAAGCATCCTTGAATATATATCATATTTTATTATATTATTGATATCCAAGTGCAGCATCATTGTCATTTAACACTACAATATATGAGCTGCATGGGGGCATGATGGTTCATTGGTTAAAGATGCTGAGCTTTTCAGCTGGAAAACTGGCACCCCAGGTTGGAAACCCCAGCACTGCATGACAGGGTAAGCTCCCATTACTTGCCCCAGCTGCTGCCAACCTAGAAGTTCAAAAGTATGCAAATGCAAGTAGATAAATAGGTACCACTTTGATGGGAAGGTTACAGTATTCCGTGCACCTCGGCATATAGTCATGCTGGCCACAAGACCATGGAAGTGTCTTTGGATGAAGCTTCTCATTTTCATTACATCAGCCAGTCTACACATTCACCTTAGAGTACCCCATTGAACTGCACTGGCTTTTATTCAAAGAAGAAATATATTGAATTTGCAGACTGAAATTGCTTTCAAATATTTCATATAGAACATGTCCCCAACCCGGGTCGGCACCCTGGTGGTGGACAGCAGCCTGTTTGAACCGGGCCCCACAGGTGGCAGGTAAGCCTGCAAAGCTGCATTTGTGCAAGCGGCAAGTGTGCACAAAAATATCCTTCTCCGCCACTGCTGGTCGGCAGAGCTGGAAAGGTGGACTGCTGATACAGAATATATCATACTCCCTCAAGATACATGTCACCACATGCCGAGTGTTGTTCTTTTGTTCTCTAAAAATATTCACTGTCCTATTAAGGATAAGAAAAACTTTTGTGAATTAGCTGCATCTTAATAACATAAAAATATAACTTGTAGTATTTAAAATTCTTAGCCACACATTTCTTAGTTGAAAAAAAAATCTGATACTGTTGTATATGGACAGAATTGGAACAGCTTGCCTTCAGAAGTTGCGAGTATTCCATCATTGCAGGCCTTTTAAAAGAGAATGGACAGCCACTTGTCTGGAATTTTATAGGGTCTCCTGCTTGAGCAGGGGTTGGACTAGAAGACCTCCTTCCAACTCTGTTATTCTGTTAATTATTAAATCCTGTAATATAACAGCCATAGTTTAGCCTTAGATAAATTTAATGGGTTCTCCTATAGAAAATTTCTCAATGCTTTATTGCTTTAAATAATAATTTTAACATAGAAACATGCTAAAGAAATATATAAATCTTATGCTAATGTTATCTTGTCCCATAAATTCAACAGAATTTTAATAATTATTTAAATCCATTTTTATTTGAGAAGGAAAGTAGAATACATTTACATCCATAAAAATGTTTCCTTAGAATAATTTTTATTAAAATAATAATAGCAACAATAACAATATTACATTATTAACAATAATCTGAAAAATTCAACAAGCAAAATCCCACATTTTATAAATGTTCATACATTAGAACCTTAAAAGGTATAATAAGAATCTTACTCCAATGAACTGAATAACCTGATAAATTAACAAATATAATACCGTTTGGTATATACATATAATTTTCAAACATTATTGACATATAATAACAGTTCACAGTAATTATTGTTAGAATGTTTTCCAAGCCAATAGTTAAGGCAATATCTCCAATATCAAAAGCAGGGGGAAAAAAGACCTCTGGATACATAAAGAGATAATTTCATTTGTATTAGGAGTGGGTAGCTACATATTGACCCAAATAAAGGAAAAAAATCAACTTTTTAAAAAATCCACTGCTCCGTATTCAAACCCTTTTCTGAATCCAACAAGATCAGCATTGCAGATTTTAGCTTTTTTGAAATACACAATCAAACTATCAATTATTATCAAAGTTATAATATCTTGGTGAACTTCTTAATTTTAGCCACAAGTCTGCTACTTATTTTATCTAATTTAATAATCTTCTACTTACCTGGTGTTCCTTTCTTGGAATCTTAATGCCAGTTTAAGTTTATGCAAGAGAGATAGCACAAACCATAGTTACACAAAAATGGCCTTTTGAGGAACTTAAGAACATAACACAAACCAAAAACATTTTGTTTTTCATAATGGTGAACCAGTTTCTACTACTACAGTACCCACAGGCAGGAAACATCATAGTTTTTCTGTCATTGTTCCCCTACAAGTGTATGGAATTATGCTGCTCCTACTCTGAGGAGACATAGTTTTTAAGATTAATGGCCCTTGATAATTTGAGCTCCAAAAATTTAAAGGCATCTTTTAAAGCCATCCAAATTAATAGCCATATCACTATATTTTTTGTAGTGAAGTCCACAGGTTAATTATATCCTATGTGAAGAACAGCTTCTTTCATCTACACAAATTCTCCTTTCAATTACCTTCATTGGATGGTCTTAGTATTTTGTGTAAGGGAGAAAAGCTTCTTGTCCATTTTCCCAGGCTATGTATTATTTTAAACAATTCATGCCCATTGTCATCAATTTTTCAAGTTAGAGCCCTGGTATTTTCTTGCAGGGAAAATAGCCAAGCATTCTGATAATTTATAAACTTCTGACCTTTCTCACTGTTATCATTTCCAAAAGTGTCGATATAAACTGTACTTCAGATGGCAGATGTACTATAGATGTTATAATGACAGCATCTTTGTTTCTTATGCTGCTATTCATCTAGCATAGAACTTACTTTTTCTCCCTACTGTAGCTGCCAGGCACCGAGTCAAAGTCTTTTATAAACTGCCCACTATGATTCCAGGATTTACTCTGATTAGTTCAAACTGCAGTTTCAATTTGGATCACTTTACATTTAATTTAAATCACCTTTCCCTTGGCAGAACATTGTATTGCAACCTTTTATTGCAAAATGCAATTTATATGATAATATAAATTGGTGTCTGCCAGCTTGGAAGGGTCTTGCCTTGAAAAACTGCATCTGAAATAAACAAATCCTCCCAATGCCTGAAAGTAAGTAACATAAAATTGCAGGCTGGTTTTTAAAAAAAATCTCACTAAATTAGTTTTTTCCATTGATCTGTATCTCTGTCTCCCCCTCCCCCCCATAGATGTTTTCTCTGGTTTTATTTGCAAATACAGTACTACATAGGTAAAATTAGACATACTTTCGTTTCCTATGTTTTAAGTGTGATATCTCAAAGTCTGGGCATAAGTACAGTAGTAAATATACTAATTGATTACTGGAGTCGAGTTCAGTTTGAAGGAAGCTTTACCATTTTCTAAAAAAAATACTGTTCTACACCGTGGTGTGCGTGCGTGCGCGCGCGTATGTTTGTCTGTGTATACACCTGTGGGAAAGAGGTGGTCTTTAGGACCT